TGAACGTCAACTTATGGTCCAGTAGAACACCAGCATCGCTGAACTGGTCGGTTCTTTGAAGAACCACACCGTTGATGGCATAGTCAAAAACTATCGGCTGCCTGATGCGGTAATACGACATTACCATACATTTAGGAATACTGAGGGTAACCAATCAACGAACAGATCCAATACCGATTGAAGACGAATGCAATCCTCAGCAGTCCGCACCACGAAGTAAAGCTTTAGGTCATCGGCATACGCAAGCTTACAGCCATCTCCAAGTAGAAGAAGTGCGTCGTTGATGTACAACACAAACAGCAACGGGCCAAAATTGCTACCCTGTGGTACACCTGACGAGTTCGTGAAATACGAGGAAGTACTGGAATCGAGTTTCACTCGCAGAGACCTGTCAGTCAAGTAGGAGCACAACCACGAAGTCAAACGGTCCAACGCACCGAGTTTGGATAGCTTTGCCAACATAATGTCATGGTTGATCGTATCAAACGCTGCTTTTAGATCAGTGTAGATGACGTCTATTTGTGCCCCATTTTCCAGTTGCTCAAAACATGTCGTGGTAAAATCTAGAAGATTTGTGGTAACCGATCGTCCAGGCATGAAGCCATGTTGGTCACTAGAGATATAGCATTTGGTGTGCTCAAGAATGAAACCACTCACAATTATCTCAAACAGTTTTGATGCTGCAGAGAGATTAGTAATTCCTCTGTAGTTTTTTGGGGTTATTGGTTTTTCCTATGTTTCGAGGGGTGAATCGATTAGCTTGGGACCGAAGAGAGTACCAGAGCTGAGCCAAAAAGTTGAGCACGTTATTTCGGGACCTTCTAGTCTTAGAGTTACCTCTATGGTTCTAGCATAATGTCATGATGACAAAGCGGGCCAGAACAAGGGGCTTTCTTTATGGCTATTGATGAAGGGTAGCCATCGCTCTTGGCTCTTTTGACCGCACGTGCAAATTGCTTGTCAAATAAAGTATTTATTTTTTTGGAAAATGTCGATGCCTTCTTCGTCCTGAAATACTCAGCGGTAGCTGTAGCTGTCAAATATTCACAGAACAAACGTCGAGCCCATGATTATGCTGTCAAATTCTGTTTGTCGATGTGATTTGGAACTGTTTTTACCTTATTCGACTTCAACCCCTAACGCTGCTTTGATTTTTGGACAAAACCAGGTGACATTCCTATTTTACGAGCCACCGAGCAGAGCAGAGAGATTCGGGTTTTCCTTCAATATCCTCTTCACCTTTCGGTTTTTATCACTTCTCGGTTTCCTCTCGACCGTCAAACGTTCCGAGAATGATTTGAACACACCGTGAACAGTGGATTTAGGTTAATCCAATTTTTTTGCAAGTTCCCGTATTGACAAGTCAGGATTTGCATTACGTCCGTACAAAATCCGCTCGCGCACGTGTTTTTCATTCGTCGCCATCTTGAACACTAAACATGGACTGTAAACACCAACCATAGTCTTTTTCATCAATGGCTCCCTGTACACAAACACCATCCTCTAATCGAATGAAACCTGAGACCATTCAAAACGAAACATCGAAATAGCTTTTTCGAATGATAGCTGCAGATGATTTTCCTCTCGACTATAGGATGAAAATTGTTATGAGAAGGGATAGGGCCTTTAGTTGAAGTAGTGCTCTCTGCAGAATGATTTCCATACTAAATGGTAATCCATATGGTATTGGTTCAGCCCCATAACGCAAATCATTCAAAACTATGATGTAAATAATTCTATCGAACGTCATTTGCTGATCTGAGCTCACAAACGAGGTGGAAGCATAGCCATCACTATCAAAGCTGTTACGAACATAGTGAAAGCATGAAAACCGATATTTGGCTAATTCGTGGTGGAGACAGTTTCCTCTACCATCGAAGAATTTGTGTATCCATAATTGAAATGGCTGTCTAAGGAAGGGATATGGTTGGCTCAACTATTGAGTGAGATTGGAATTCTGTCGATTCCATTCACTATATTTGAAGATAACATACCCTGTATTAGAATTGCAGAAGAGCCAAGGGAACATCAGAGGACGAAGCACATAGATGTAAAATTCATGTACATCAGGGAACAGATTAAAGAGAAAAAGCTCATAGTTAAATATGTTCCAACAAACGATCGAATCGCTGATTTTCTAACCAAACCCCTTGTAAGAGCTAAGTAGATTCATGAAAATGATAAAAATGCAAAATTGAGGGGAAGTGTTGAAATTTAATTTTCATTTATTGTCTAGATTCTATTCTTTTACTCGGGTTGTCTCTTTCACAACCATAAGCAGATTCAATGTTCTCTCATTAGAGCGAGGAGGACAACTCTATCTACGATGCAAAAAAGATTGTGTTTTGCTGTGGCTAGCTGCGCACACGCTGAGTAGATAGAATGAAGATTGATGATGATTCTAAAGATTTCCTGCAAAAAATTGATGAGCGATGCAAGTAGATGCGACAAATGAAAGAAGATTGTTCGAAGATTGATTCGCTAGTGTGAGATTTGTTGACCATCTAAACTTGAGATTTAGATGTGTCGCCCCCCTCGCATTAGAGCCATTTCGCTCTCGCTAGCTCAGGTCTCTATTAAGTGTTTCCGAAGCTGAATGAGCCTAGCGTAATCTGTCTATTAGTTATCGATAGATCAACTTGTTATCAGATAATTAGTAGGGGAATCATAAGATATCAATGTCCCCTTTATGCAGTACTGAATTCTTATTAAATAAATAGTTTTATTGATGGTCTAAGAATTCTGTGTACGTTTTTGTTTTCCGAGAGGTAATTGCATGAGAGAAACCCTTTTTTTGATTCTTCAGCTGGGTTGGAGGAAGTCAGGCTTATCTGACTCTTTCCTCGTCCACTCTGGTTGGCTGTCATACTTGGAGGAAGTTTTTCCTCAAGTACTGTTACGGCACTCCACTTGCGTTCGAACTTCCAACAATTATGGCTATTCAGTATGGAAATTTAGATAATCAAATTATAAATCTACTTAAAAGCTCTTGCATGTTACATTATTCTTAAATGTTTGTCCTCTGAGTGCCGTATGTTTTACAGCCAATTTTCAAACAAAAATAATCCTGTATTTGGATGACAATCATATGAATGTTCATCATCTGACGACGAATTCAACCATAAGAAAATCATCCGAAATTCGAATGCATATTGTTAAAGGGCTCGAGCAATGCAATAATCATTCGAAGTATTGCGGATGTTTTGGTTCAGTGTATATCTCAGTGAAATTGTTCACTCGTACGTGCAATTGACCAATGCACGGAATGAACTCACGAAAAAATTTGACTTTTGAGCGGTGCCGTGTTTACTAAAAATGTAAAAATGAACACATGATGTAATGCTCGCGTAACTTTAGAAAAGGTCCTATCAACTTTTATAAACAACTTGTTAGGCCCTTTTCTCACGAGCCGAAGAACACCCACGCAAACCAAACCACTATCGGAAAGGGGAGAATTCACCCTAACCGATGATGTTGTTGATTTGCATGTTCGTACTTCGGTTCGCGCGAAAAATGTCTAACAAGCAACATCCTTTCAACGCGCTGTTCCTTTGCAATTTTTAAGTTAAAAATCGGAAATTTTAGATTTTTTTTTTCGAAAAAACGACTAAGTGCTTGTAAACAGTACCACTGAACTGTCAAAAATGTTCAGCCGATTAACACTGAGTTCATTTATGACGTCACGCTGCAGTACCTAATTAGGTTCTGCAGCGTGACGTCATAAATGAACTCAGTGTTAATAGGCTGAACCTTTTTGACAGTTCAGTGGTACTGTTTACAAGCACTTAGTTGTTTTTTCGAAAAAACAAATTCTAAAATTTCCTAATTTTAACTTGAAAATTGTCGAGGAACAGCGCGGTGAAAGGATGTTGCTCGTGAACAATGCAGAAGTGTGGTTTACATCTCACTGCAGTCTGAAAAATTATCGAGAAAATCTACCCAAGAAAAAAAACGACTAAGTCCACGTAAACAGTACCACTGAACTGTCATCAGATTGAGGTTAACCCCGACGGTGCAAAACCTAATACTTCAAAAGTTACAGTGATTTGAAGGTGTCCGGATGGACGAGTGCACCGATGGATTTGAGTTCAATCACTCGAGAAAAAGTGACACAAGCTGCTTATTCATGAACATTTAGTGTTCATGATTAGTAAACATTACCCGCAGCTTGTGTCACTTTTTCTCGAGTGAGTGAACTCAAATCCATCGGTGCACTCGTCCATTAATGTGGATCCAGACCTTAGGATGTAGGGTAAACGCTCCTATAGTTGCGGTGCGTTAGAAGCGTTAGGTTCCTATAGTTGTGTATGGAGACTCCGTACACAACTATAGGAACCTAACGCTTCTAACGTACCGCAACTATAGGAGCGTTTCCCTTAGTTGAAATGATAAAGGTTTTCGGGTTCTTCAAGTAATGCGAGAGTTTCGGTTCTAATTTTCACTTGAACTGCAAAATGAACGCTAATCAACGTCGATCTTTTGTAGTTCACTTTCAAGTAACTTTAACCACCACATCGGTGCTGGTGGTGAATTGAATCAACTCACTTGAACCGTGAAATTGAGCCTTAAGAGAAAGATGTGTTGTTAAATATATATGTATGCAAGTAAAATTCCTTTTATTGGGGTCCAAATTCTTCGTTGTCACTGTGATGATTTTTGAGTCTAAATCGGTTCAAATGTCGCTGCAAATGATTCACATAATTATTGAAAAAAAGTGTTAGAAATTTGAGAAAACATCCATTACTATGCTCAAAAGTAAGAAAACGCTCTTCAAACAGACGTAACAAAAATGAAATCAGCAGAAATACCATAATCATAGGAAACTAACAAAGCAAAAACTCAGCTTAAAATAAATTGTACCAATCCAAATAATTCACACTCTTTTTTCTTCATGTTCTTTTCTTCCCCGTTGCCCAAATCTGCTCTACACTGAAACAAATATCCGATGACGAATTCGTAATATTCCTACACGATTACGCCCGACCTTGCCCAACCTGCAGCAGCAATCGGTAAACGTAAGTTCGACGGAGGTCACCAAAATCAAGGGGATATCAAACGGCGCTACGGAGCGGCGGCAGCAGCAGCAATAGGAAATCTTGGTAGTAACTGGGGCAGTCAGCCCTTGCCCCAGCAACCCCTCGGCACCAACGGTGGGGAGCAGTGGTACACCGACACCTACTCGGTGTGGAGCTAAAGAAACAACAACAACATCAACCGCAAATCGTACACACTTTCACAAACTCACATCGGATGAAAATTTACCCTAACACACACTCACACACACACAAACATCGGAATCATCGGTTGATAAAACAAACAAAAAAAAAACACATTCAAGTCGACGTGCAACACGGAATGGAAAGCAGTCATCGCCTAGCAATCGCTACGACTTTTACTAATACTAATAGGATTATAAAAAAAACGTAAACAATTATGTAGCTATATTGGTTCATCAAAATTCAAACAAAAAAAGGCGAAAGCTCTCACCAATACAATCGTAGTTACACTCTAAATTGCAAACGTACTACTACTATACGATAAACAGTCTCTTTTAAAGAAAAAAAAAATAAAGAATACAATTAGATCGCTAATTATATTGTATAAAAAGCAAACACACAAAAAAAAAACTTATCTTTCGCTAATCATCAAAAAAACAATAATAAGAAAACGGTAAAAAATGACTGAATTTTTCATAATTCTTAATATTTAAGATTTAGAAATTAAAACAAAAAAACAACAGCAAGAAAAAGGATACGTACTGTAATCAACCAAGTTGTAGAATTTTAAAATTATTCAACATTCGAAACTTTGAGATTAACCCAGAAAAATTAGGCCATTTTTATTTGAAATTTCATCTTTGATTTAATACTTCATTCGATACACACTGAAAACAAATTAACAATTCGATGAAATGGCGGATCTCCACCAACCCAACTCACCCAAACACACACACACACACACACACACACACACACATACACATACACGCATGTGTTCGCGCTCCACCTACCGGAAATGGGCGGGGGAGGGTTAAAAAGAGAAAGTGATAAGTTTCTTTCAGTTTTCGAAAATTATTACCAATATTTCCTAATTGCTAAAAGAATGCCTAAGTCGTATTAAGAAAACAAAAACAGCAGCAGCAAAAAAAAAATCCAAACTCAAAGTGAAGAAATTTAGTTAGATTGAAAATCTCACCGTGCTTCAAAAGTAATGTCGACACCGTAGGAAGGAGGAGACGAAAAAAAAATTAACCCAATACAGGAAAAGCAAAAAAAAAAAAAAAGAATCGTTTGAGTGTTTCGAAGAAACGGAAATTTAGTTTTGGTGACTCTTTGGAAAAGTAAATTAAAAAAAAAAACAATGATGTAAATAAATTTTCGGACAGTGCGAATTCGTGTATTTAGTAATAATAAAAAAAAACTAGAAAAAAGAATCAGTTTCGGTGGAATAAAAAAATATGGAAGAATAACGAAAAAAAAACACAAGCAAGCAAAAATATAAGAAAACATACAAGTGATTTATTTTGATTAAAGAAGAAAAGAAAAACGTCATAAAGAAAAAAAAACAAAACAAAGTATAAAAAATTCAATATGGTGAAATGTGATTAACTAAAGAAAAGAAAATATTTGTAAAAAGAACAAAATCTTGTAAAATTTGGATGTGTAGGATTTAGGCTCTTCGGAGTAGCAAAAAAATTATCAGTTTGGCTTGGCATGTGCAGAAGAAAATTGCAGTGATTAAAGAAATCTTTCAAAAAGAGGAAAAAAAATGCGCGGAAACCGAATCGGAAAAACAGCGGAAAAAAGTGATAAGTGCAAAATTCAAAAGAAAACCAAACATTCGGAAGTGATCGAAGCAAAAAAAAAATAACAAGTTTAGGTGAAACCAGGAAAACATACGACAAAATAGTGTAAAACACGAAAAGTTTGATATCAGCTTTTTTTTTAGGCAAAGAAGAACAATTTAGGCATGACAATATTCGAAATTATCGATCGGCAAAGCTTTTGAAAGTGGCGGCAAAGCGAGAAACATAATCTGACTGACAGTTTCGTTTTGTTTTTGGGAGAAAAAAAAATCTGGCAACACATACCAATGGTAGCAAGGGGCTCCCCGCTGTCGTAGCACCGTGAAGGCTTTTTTCACACACAGAAAACGTACACTCTAAGATTGAAACCATCAAAATTCGATTGAAGAAAATCATTGCTTACTACGATCCATTTTTATAAACTCACACACAGGAAACTGGAAACACTGTAGAATTTGTTTTCCTTGGCAAAAAGTGGGAATTGTGCGTTTGACAAGCTTCACTTTTTTGGAAATTTTATTTTATTGATTATAAAAGGAACGCACAGTTTCCAACTACAAACCATCTCACACTACCGGTGCATTGCTGCCGCAGTGGAATTTATATCAATTTTGTTTAATTCTCTGTTATTTGTTGATTCGAAAAAAAACAACCCTTTTTTTAAGCAAAACAAAACAAACACACATATACATAGAAGGATAGCAGAAATCGTTCAAAGCAAACCAGCTCCCTTCGCACGGAAGGTGATGCAAAAGTAAACTACAAACAAATCCACTAGCCACGACAGACCGACCAACCGACCGACCGACGACGTTTCGGCTCCACCCTGGCGAAGTCAATGGCGGTGACGATCGCTCTCACCAATACAAGCACACGCAGAACCGGTTTTCACAATTGCTGGCATGCGCTGGAGCAAATAAGTGGAATTTCTTCGAGTCGTCGTGGTGTTTTCTTTTTCAATTCTTTGTTGTCAGAAAACTGGAATGGTGCCCCAAAAAAAAAAAAAAGCTGCCTTAAATGAAATTTACACTCGACATAAACAAACAAGCAAACAACCAACCACAGTCACACACACACACATACATTAAGCTGAGCGGAAAAGAAGCATGGAGCAAACAGAAGGAAGGATGAATGGATGGATAAGAAGGAGAATACAACAAGCAAACAAGCAAAAAAAAATATGTGGGAGAAAAGACTGAATGAAAATTATTTCAAATTATTTAGAAGAAGGAATATGAGAAGCGAAGGAGAACGGCTCCGATCGAGGAATGCAACAAGGATGGCGGCGACTGGCCGGAGACGACTGGCTGCCATTTGCATGACGGATTCAGGAGATCTGCGCGCGTGGCGACGTGACGTAAACGCAGAAAAACGCTCGCTCTCGAGCTCGAGCAGAGCGGATCGGATCGGATGGAAAGACTCGTGAACCCTTTTTTTTTAGTGTGCTAGGAGCGTTCAATTATTATTTGTTTATTTTTCCGGTCAAAATAACGATTGAAAACTGTAAAGAAGAGAACACGTAACGCTAAAGAAAAAAAAACTAAGTGAAACAAGAGTAAAATTATGCAATATTCAATCATTATTTTTAAAATATTTTTTTGTGTACGTTCTAAAACTCAAAAATTATGTAGCGGATTTAAACGATTGTAAAAGTGAAGCAAAACCAGTTTAGTTGTAAAGAGCAATTTTTCAAGTCGACAAAAACGGATCTAGAAAGGTTTTTGACACGTGCAAAAAATACACACTCTGCCCACAGTAGGCCGTGCCCACCGATGACAGCTGCTCCACAGTGCTGCCAGCTTTGTTTCAATTTCCTCTGTTTGTATACTTTTTTTTTTTTAGTTTTCGTCAAAAACGTTACCGTTTTATCTATTTGTAGCTGTAATTTCCCGTTATTATTTTTTGTTACCTCGTAATCGTTATCTTTCTATTCGGAAGCATATTCTGTTTTTGTTCATCTTTGTTGGTTAAATGTTTCGATTTTGGCTGGCAGCACTTGTCCGCTGCCTTGGGCGAGACTGGCCTGCTCTTCCGGGCAGACACAGCAGCGCGTACCTTCGGCGGAAAAATATTCTAATTATATAAATATTAACGTTTAGATGTTATTCTTAATTGTACGCGCTAAACGGAGAAAAGAAAAAAAGAAAAAAACCGACGGAAGAAATATTTGTAAAGAAGCTACTGATAAAAGAAAGTAAAGAAAATCAAACACTGACAGAACTAATCGAAGAAAAAGTGAAGGCAAAAAATGTGAAAATCCGAGAAAAAATGGAAAAAAAAAATATTTGTATAAAAAATATATATTGAGAAGTTATTATGTTAATTATATATTTTTTATTTTATATTGTATTTTGATTATAATAACGTAAATTTTAATTATTTTAGATAAAATTACCCTATTTTTAGTTCATACATGAGAAAACAAAACCCAGCCAACAACTAATAATCGCAAAAACCAGTTTTCAGAAGAAATTTGACGAAAAATTCGAGCAGAACACAATGAACGATTTCCCCCTTCTACCGTTTTTTAAAGCATAAAAGAAACATAATTAAAATAATTAATTAATTTTAAATTATCCAAAAGCCTCCACACACTATTTTTCTTTATTTAATTTTTACAAGATTTAAGTTTAAACAGTACGTCAATGTGAAGCAACATTCAACTTACATAACCTTTGCCTACACATGTATGCCTCCAGTTTTCATTTTTTTTTTCTTGATCACATCAATCTAGTTTAGTAGACAAGTTTCCAAACAAACACACAGCAAAAACAACAGATGTGGAATCGCAAACAAAAAAGCATAATATATTATTCACAGAATTTTAATCTTATACATAGTAAAGCAGAATAGTTTTAATCTCCTTATCTAAACAGAAACAGACAAACAAACAAAAAGCAGCAAAGCAAACACTTACTATCAATCAACCAAAAGCAGATGATAAAGAAGAAAAACACTCAAACATTAACGTCAAATCACAGAACAACTACGAAGATTATGACCCCCCTTGATTTAACAATAAAAAAAAACACAAGAACAAAATGGAGACCTCGAGTCAGAGCACCGTTTGTAAATCGTTTCTTTACTCAAAGAGCAAAACAGAAAACAAAAAAAAAAACCGCACTGAGAGCCATCCTAGGGAGAGACCACGCAAAGCTAGAAACGAGGAACGTCAAACAACAACCATAGAAACAAACAAACAATAACAAGGCAGCAATGGAAAGAAGAGAAAGCGAGATTAGCAGCGACGATTAGCAGACGAAGCAGCAGACAAACAAAACACCACCAGAGTCATAGCCAACTTTGTTCTCAAGCACAGATTAAATGTACCGTTTGATTAGTCATTATGTTTACCAACCCTCGGAACAACAAACTTACTTTTTTTTCTCATCCACACCGACACAGACACTCACACAAGCATCAACCTTCCATCCCGGTGGATATCTCTTCCGCTCCCGCGGACTCTGCACTCTCGAGTGTTGATAGCAGTTTTTGTTCCTCCCTCGCACATTCCCTTTTCCAGTCCCGAAAAAAAAAAATCTCTTTTGTGTTTTGATCAACAAGCAGCAGCATTTCTTTCTCATTTCCTCTCAATTCTTCATTCTCATCAACTCACTCTCATAATAAACTCATTACTGACACACATACACATAAACAGACGAGCCATGAAGAGCTTCTTGAGTTTCATTATTGTTTTGTTTTTTGTTTACAATTTTTGTTGGTAAAATTACACTTTAAATTTGGATCTGGTTGGCAATTTCGATAGACGGATAAAATACACACAAACACTCAAGTTGTACGTAACGTATAACGAAAAAAGAAGAAACAGTAAAAAATCAATAAGCAAAGAAAGGAAAGCTAAAACTGAGAGAGCAAAGTAAGCATTAACTAACAGGAACAACAACAACAACAACAGTAGAAAAAAACACACACATTTCAAGCAAACTAAAATACGAATTGAAGGTAACATAAATTAAGCGGAGTTGAAAGCTTCCCGTGGTTTGAAGTATAAGAATTGGCAATTGATAAAGAAACACAAAATGACATGAAAAGCTTCACAGGAAAGCTTTCAATTTCGGTTCTTGTTTAGAACTACTTCCGGCAATTTATTTAACAACCTAAACGAAGAAGAGGAAGAAGAATAAGCAAACAGAAGAGTAAATAACCAGAGAGAAGAAAGAAAACAGAAAACAAACAAGTAACAAATAAATAAAGATAAACAACCTTTGTATCTTCTCTATATACGAAAGAAAAATAAATAAAAATAAATGTTAACATGTTGGGCTTTCGGTGCACTTTGATATCACAGCCTTCGCGTCAAGAATGGACTCCTTGGAAACTTCCGCTACAGCGGCGCATCTTTTGCTTGAAAGTGACATTCTTCACTTTACTTACCTTACCTAAGGCTTTGTTGTCCTCTGCTGTCCGAAGAAGTCGTCTCCACTCTACTCGATCCATGGCCACACTTCGCCAGGCTTGTAGTCTGCGAAGGGTCCGCAGGTCACATTCTACTTGGTCGATCCATCCAGAGACGATGTTTAATAAGAGATGCGCGAAGACTGAAGCCAAAAGTTGCAATCGAACCATCAAACGCGGTTCCAATCTAACAATGTTAATAAACACAAGCGCTTCACGAGAAAAAGCGTGATTTTTTAGGTTTAAATAATTATAATTAAGTTTGTGGATGAAAAGTGCAATCGGATACTAGTTGACTTTCGGAATACTGATAAAACACAAGTAAAATCTTTTGAGATTAATTGTTTATATTTACATCAATGCCAAAAAGCAATTATTAAAAAAAAATACAATGCCGCCGATCGACTGTCTAGTTTTTAACCACTGGATTTGTATGGCTGATGAATACAGTGTCAAAACATTTTGAATCTATCATCTAGTTTTATGCAGGCTTGGGAATTGTCAACCTCATGACGATAAACTATGTAACAACGACAACAACAAAAAGTCAATGCTCATATGACAAGCACGATGCAACAAACTTACTGGATCAACAATAGAAAAGGGCCCATCAGCATTTGTAAACAAACCGTTCCAAAGCCTTTTACTCACGAAACGAAGACACCCACGCAAACCAACACCATCATCAGATAGGGGTTACTTCTACCTACACGATGATGGTGTTGGTTTGTGTGAGCGGCCTTCGATTTATGAGGAATGGGCTTTGGAACGGTTTGTTTCAAATGCTGATGGGCCCTTTTCTATTGTTGATCCAGACTTCTGCTTGAAAGACTGATCCATGGTGGGTATACAAATGGTGATACAGCTTTGTCACTATATAGGCGAGGAGGTCGCGGGGGGGAAAAGTGCGGTTTTAGAGCAAATTGTAAACAAACTCGGTCGCTGTCCCATACAAAAATCCAACATGGCTGAATCATGAATTTGACACATTAGAACACCTATAAGTAGTCAGCTTGGACTGATCTACTGCAATGACATTTATATAAGGTCTGGGTCAACAGGCAGCTTGCTTGTGTCAGATAGAAATACGTCACTGCCAACATACTGAGAACAGATAGAAATACGTCACTGCCAACAGCTGTTTCGTGTAAATTACGAATACCACTAAACATTTGCACATTTCACTAACACCAATAAACCCTTTGGCCCAGACCTTATATAAACATCATTGGATCTACTGGGCTGTCTCACGACGAAACATCAAGAGCAAATTTTCATTATGTTGTAAGTAACATTCGGACCGATCCGAGAAAAATAAAGTTTTGTTTTGATTACCGAAAAGTTATTCCTATTTCCAATTAAACACATATAATCTCATAGTGATAGCAATGTTTAACATATTTAGCCGGGTTTTAATCATACAAAGGCAAATCGCTAGCTTTCATGCTAAGAAATACTGGTTTTTGAGTAAAAAGTTATTATACGTCGTTTGGTGGCCCCTATTGTTACTTAAGTCAAAGTGTATTTACCAGGATATTCGGGAGAATTATCAATTACGTCTCCTTACGTGCAGCCCATTCATCATTTTAGGACCACCGAAATCATCTTAGCAACAAACAGTTCGATTTATTCACTTTAATAATGAGAAAGCGAAACGACGAACGTACACTTTTCACGGGTTTCTCAGTGCTGTTACTTAAGGCAAACGGCATCTCCATAGAAATCGGGTGACTTAAGTAACATCGAAAACTATTTTGATCGGAAGGTGATTACGTCAAAAAGCAATTCGACTGGTAAATAAATTTAAAAATGGGATTTGATCCTATATTCGGACAGTATATAGTGTAATAGCAGGAGCATCGATTGACACTGATAGCTCGACTTTGTTTACCTTTGTTACATTCGACGTAATGAAAATTTGCTCTTGACATGTCCTCCTTTAGGATACCATATAGTAACCCTACCTCTGTCGGATGTTCATCAGCAATCAGCATCGAGGTGAAGCAATCGGTTAAGTTGTGTGAGTAAAACCCCTGTACGATACAAGCAATTAGTGACGTCACTACTTGTTCACGCCCAAACGCGAACGATAGTCAGTGACCGTCGTAAGCCCCACCCATTTGTTAAATTTCTCTCAACCAACGAACGAGCAAGGCGAAACCAGAAGATGAAGAAGAAGCATTACGATAGTATATAAGCAGCGAAGCTAGTGGCATTAGTATTAGTATGGTTTTAGTTGTCAAATGTATACAACAAGAGAAAATAAATAAGTAAAACTATCCTAGTTTTTTTACAACATCCTCTGATCCGGCATTGTGTTCAACTGAGGAGGAGCAGTACACCGTTTTTAAATACAGTCCACCGCTGGTTGAGTGCTTGCTGTCGACGGGCTTGCGGAATCCCAACCGTCCTTATCAGGGCAAGAAGAGTTTTGTGTTATCCCAAGCGCCTGAGCAGAACACTCATTTTACGAAGACTTCCTGTTTGAGCGGCACCCTTTCCCTTTCCTGTCTTGTCAGGACACGATTAGTTTTGCCGCAAGAGAACTAGGAAGTCCCACCATTCCCTTCATTGGAGTCTGGTACGGCTCCGACATTGGTCCTTCGAGCCGGATCAGAGCAACGTTGTGCGGAGAAACCTACGAGAAGTTTCTGGAGGATGTTGGAAGAAAGCTAGTAGTGAGTAGTGAGAATTGGATAAGTAAAGTGGACAATAAATAAAAAAGATACATTTAAGTGAAAAAGTGAAAGAAAGTGTGTTGTGAAAAGTGAAACGTCATAATACCTATCGACCACACGCCTAAGAAGCCCACTGCGGACGCCGAGAAGTTGCAGATGTTTATTCACCAACGTGGACAAATTAAAGGCAAAGTGACTAAAATAACCAACAACCTTGAAAAGGCTGAAGATGACCCATCGCAAATCAGTGCATCGTTACTCAAAGTGTATGGCAAAAAGTTAGAAATGCATTACACCGAGTACACTGAAGCCCACCGTGAAGTGATTGCCATAACTCCACCGGCAAAAATGGAAGAGCAAGACGACAAGCTAGACGAATTCGACGTTCTGCACACGGAAGCGCTCGATCGCCTAGAGCGTCTGATGGAGTATTTTGCCAAGCCTGCTCCTGTGGTTGCTATTCCTAGTGGAGCAGCCCAAGTAGTCGTGCAGCATCATCCCCTCAAAGCACCGATACCTTCTTTCGATGGTCGTGTGGAGAATTGGCCCAAATTCAAAGCCATGTTTGAGGATTTGGTCGTGAAAAGTGGTGATTCCGATGCCGTCAAGCTGCATTATCTTGACAAATCTTTGGTGGGTGACGCAGCTGGTCTCATCAATGCCAAGATGATTCAAGACAACAATTTCCATCAAGTATGGAGACAGCTGAGAGAACAGTTCGAAAACAAGCGTGTCATAGTGGACACCCACGTCGATGGATTGATCCAGTTGAAACCGATGATGAAGAGCAACTTCAAGGATCTGTTGGAGTTAACGAAATCATGTGAGCGTCACGTCGCAGGACTGGAGTACCAGGGTCTGGCAGTGGACGAACTATCCGGGGTCATCATTACGAAGCTATTAACCTCCCGTTTGGACGATCACACCCTACAGCTGTGGGAACGTAATCAAAAACATGGTGAGTTACCCAAGTACGAGGATACGTTGGTGTTCTTAAAAGGTGAGTGCCAAATTCTTGAGCGTTTCCAACATTCTCGTCATCCTGTTGTGGCGAAAGAGCCTCAGTCCAAACATTCCAATGCAAAACCTGTGTATCAGAAGGCACACACTGTCACGTCCTCTAATTCTTCGAGTCAATGTAAATTTTGTGGTGAAAACCACCGCCATTTTGAGTGTCCCATTTTTACCAAATTGCCTATCGCAGAGCGCATAAACAAGGTGAAGCAATTGAGAATTTGTTTCAACTGCCTCGGACTTGGCCACTGTGCCAAGGATTGTTCTTCCAAGCGTAATTGTTCGAAATGTCACAAGCGACATCACACCCTCCTGCACGAAGAATCCTTCACGAAAACCCTTGAGACCGAAACCCTCCCTGAAAAGGACTCTTCCCAGGACGCTGCTGAAGTCAAAACAGTTCCCAAAATCGTTCCGTCAACAAGTGCAGGGTGTCGACTACCTGGAAAAACCTGGAAAGTCAGGGAATGTCAGGGAATTCTATTTCTGGTCTGGAAAGTCAGGGAATGTCAGGGAATTTTAGTGTAGGTCAGCGAAAAAAAATGATATTTTTGATTGATTCTAGGCAATTTAACATTGAAATTGAAACGAACCAAAATAGCCGAATTGAGTATTTTGCATTAAAACACAAATTTTGTGTTGTTTCATTTGGCTTTTTTCTCTTCCGCTTCGTTCAGAAAAATAATCAGGCCTTCCTGATTTTGTAAATGTAGTCCTTTACTAATTTTCCAGGGGTATGCTGTGGTTGTCAATTTTAATATATAACCTTATATAGCGCGTCTACCTCACATTGATTTTGGTACTTTGCTTTTTGGTACCCACTCTAGTTCGTTTACCCCAAAACTGGTGCAATGGTGCAAAGAGCTCGTTGACATGACTGTTATCAAATAATGTTTTTCGATAGTCAAATCGCCGCTAAGGTTCAGTTAGGACGTGACCTGAATATTTTTGGCATTACTCCGTACTAACACTGCAAAAGTTCAGCTTTTTTGTTGTAGGGTTTGACGAACCCCTAAATAAAACAACAACAACAACAAAACAAATGGATTTGAATTCCCGATTCTGGGATGATTCGAAAAACGAGGTGGCAACTCGTTACATGACGTCAAAGTTTTTGGGAAGATCCCTGGCATCAGATCTACTCGCTGCGTCCATGTGTCCATGGAT